ATCTTATTGTAATAAGGTTTATTTAAATATATAAATGGACTTTTTAGCTTTTGATTTTGAATAAGAGAATTCTTCAAAAAACAGACACAGTTCAAAACACATGTAGTTTATAGTCGCCGTCTCGATTCGAGGTAAGCGATCGTTATTCTTGCACGCTTCCCTTCACTTAATGCGCGCGCGCGCACATTCTTAACCAGAGTTGCCATACATATTCCCATATTGAGAATAGGGAGGAATTGATATAGTTATTGTCGTGACTATTGTCATAAAATGGAAGTGAAGAAAGAAATAACAAATGTTCTACTATTGTATTATATTGTTTTAAAGTTAAATTATTTTAATGTAATCAAAAAATAACAAAGATAAATCCACAGTTCAAATTCGAATTTCGAGTGTTTGAAAAGCTAAAAAGTCAGCTATAAAGTTAAGCCAAATGAAGTTAATCATTATAATACGTTAACATTGCGTCCCTACGTTAAGCTAACACTAAACTTTAACAATACAATATAAAATAGGACACCCATTATTTTCCCAACTCCTAATTTCTCTCACTAATCTAAGAAATTGTGTTTTTTTGTTTTTTTTCCTTTAAATAATATATTCTTTTTCTTTATTTTTTTAATTTTAGTATTATAATATATATATAATTTTATTATGTATTATGTATTATAAAAAAGCCAGCTTTTATCATCTTAATATTGATATATTAAGATCTCTTATGATTTTTGAGAATGATAGATACGATAATTTATAATCGATCTCTTATAATTTTTAAAAATGAGTGATAGATACGAATAAATTATACATGGCATACAAATTAACGATTGAAGATCGAATTATAATTATAATTATATAATAATAATTTCGAAAATATATGCATGGAGTGATGAAAGATTTGAGAACGTGATTAAATGTGCGTTGTACATGTGAATCTTTAAAAACGCAGTATAACTGAATAATAATCTTGCATCGTTTCAATATCGAAAAGTTATTATGAGTTCTGTAGCAAGTTTAAATTAATATTTTAATTCTAATTATAAATTCATTATTTGTTCGATTTATTGATCCTCCTCTACTACATTAAATTTCATATTATATATAAATATTTATACATATATGTGATTGCTGCACACACACACACACACACACACACACACACACACACACACACACACACATATATATATATATATATATATATTATT